TTAGTTTTAAAAAATATTTTCTACTCTCTAGTAAAAAAAGAGATATTTTCTCAAAAATATTTTTCATTCATAAATCAAACACTAAAATTTTTTTTCGAAAAATATTTTCTGCTCACCAACCAAACATGAGAAAATAAGTCAAAAATCAACTTGTTTTCCAGGAAAACATTTTGTAGGAAAACATTTTCCTTCGTACCAAACACACCCATAACTAAGCTTGATTTATCAATAAAAATTGTGGTAGAGTAACAAATATTCTATCTCAAATTCGAACCCTTTCTGAGTATGTCACCTTTGTTACGAAACTTTGACCCAAATGTCAATTTCGTCGACATGGATATCAAAGATTGTGCTGAAAAAAAGAAGCAGCTTTGATGGATAATATGATAATCTTCAATCCACTGAGAATTGGATAGCTACTATGGCATGATATGTTGTCTCTTTCAGCACACAGTAGTTTTTGTTCGGATCCTACCATGCCAAGGCCCACAGGTAATTGAATTTCCCACTTCCTTTTTATTTAACCCTAGCTAGTGGGAAATTGTGCATCTCATAATCGAAAAGGACAGTGTTAATTATAAACAAGTGTCCTTAATAGAGAAAAAATTGTGGATGGGGCAAGTAAAATTGAATAATTCTCAATGTTAGAGGGATTTTTTTGGATGTGATATCTTGTTATTTGGTTGTTCCTCCACCCATTTTAGTGTTTTCAGCACCAAATGGGGCTCTGCCCTGTTACACAGCAGTTTTAAGAAAATCTTCATCTGGCTGCTGCTGTTGTTGTATGGCATTATTTGATTTCACTATTATGTATCTCTTCTTCTTATGCTATGTACTGGAGGATGATCTTGTTGTGTCATTATTACCTGGAAGAACAACTGTTTCATGTGGTGTTTGATATAGTGGAATTTAGTTTAATGGATGATTTTACAAATGGGAGAAAATGACTTCCTTCACTCGTGAGCAAAAGTTTTTTTTTTTGTGTGGTGTATGGACTAGCTTGTGCGCGCATCTCGACTAATTGCAAATGGGGAAAATGACTTCCTTCCCTCGTGGGGAAAATGTTTTTTTATTGGATAACTGTGGTGTCTGAACCAGCTTGCGCACATCTATACTAATTTCATGAGATAGATGGAAATTACGTGGTGGCTTTTTGGCTCTGCTTAGATTTGAACCTAAAACTTCAGGGTTGTCAACCCAATTCATTGGTCACTAGGTCACACCAACCAGTGGGGTGTGTGGGAGAAACTAATTTTACTTAGAACTATCTTAACTTTTTAAATCATATCATTTGCTCCATCTAACATTTTAGATATTATTATCCATCTTTAATACTCAAAATATCATCAAGGCAATAAATATTAGTAATCCCACTTCGGTTTGGACGATCTTCACCGCTTGATCTAGCTTTTGGGGTTGAGTTGGACTCAATTTCCATTTCTACTCAATTCTTGTTTCGCCAGATATTGATCTCCATATTATCTTGTCCAAGCTCTAGTTGCCAGTCCTTGGCGTGCGGGGTGTTAGTAGTCCCACATCGATGTGTGGGATGACAATTTGTCTCCCTATACTGGACAATCCTCATCTCTTGAGCTACATTTTGGAATTGAGTTATAGCCAATTTTCATTTCTCATCAATATCGGATTTGCTAATATTATTATTCATATTTACTTCTTGGAGAATATTTTCTTATGAAAAACAGTTTTCATGAACTATAGCTTTCATTGTACCAAACAGACACAACACATTAATTATCTTACCATATGCAATTTCTGTTACTTCTTCCTCTTTTCCTTGTTCTTGGATGTTATAACTTATAAGGTCTTTGGCAAGAAGAAACTCTAAATGCTTTGTTATTGGGGAAAATTTTGTTCCACTATAGCTCAAGATATTTTGTTTCATTTGCAAGTGCTGGTTCAAACTTGACCTACCATTCAACAAAATATAATGTTATCTTGATTCTTCAAGAATCTCACCAACCACGCACTTTGCATGTGTAAGATCACAAGAATCCATGTTTTGTTCTTGATGCTCCCACAAAGAAGTTGGTTTAAGATGTTCTAGAGGCGCTAAATAGATCCCAAGCATTAAAATGGAAGGTAGAAATTGATTCTGAATCAGACTTTTGATATTGCTATTATAAAAGTATATCACCATGAAATCATAATACAAAGAAAAGGAAAGGCACTGAGAGGAGAAAAAGAACAAGCTCATTTAGTGATCTAAACAGGTGCTGTCTTTATGTGGTCAATGCACTTGTAGAACTCATTAAATTATTGCAATCTTCTTGTTTTAGAGACCCCACAGAGATATTCCTAAATCTTGCTGTGTGCATCAGTTATTGCTTTCTCTTTTTCTTTTAGCTGTGATAAAAAAATGTTTCTGATGTTTGCTTCATTGTGCACTAAGCATATTTATTCAGTTCAGAATGTTACAGATTTTATTCTTCCCAAGCATCTGAAGTTTCCTAAGTCAGTTAGGTAAAACATTGCCAGAGTGGTACTACTACATTGGAATTTTTGGTGTATATGATCAAAATCTGGCAATGTGATCATAATCTAAATCTAACATTATTACTATATGTTGTTGTTGGCGGAAAAAACCCTTCGATTTTGCTCTTGAAATGGTTCCCTCTGCACATTTTCATCGCACACGATTGAGTGCTAGATAAGCGATTAGCCGGTATCCCACTAACATTAGAGCCATGATGAATACATCCATCCACATATTGTTCAGGCCTATTGATTTTATGGCTGGAAATTCTGCAACCTGGCAATAGACGCCTTTTGAACACTCGTAGTAGTCGTTATCATTGTATTGTACCCCTAGAAGCAACTTGTAGCAGTAGTAGCTGTAGCTCAAATATTTTAACCAGACTATGAAAGGGGGAATTTGTTGAATGTAATATCCTCCGGCAATTAGGAAGACTAAAGTTGTGACTGATGCTAAGGTAGTGGCCTGTTTCACATCCATGAGCATGGCACCATATGCTAGACCGAGGCTCTGAGAAACGAGTACGCTGTAAAGGACTACTAGAAGAGATAGGATGAATGTGGCAGGGTTGGCTTTGAGCCCACCCATCCAATATAGGATGAAGGTAAATGCTGTTGGTAGTGCTAGTTCCAAGGGAAGATCCCCAACAGTTTTAGCTAGAAAATATGATGAGAGTCGGTACATTCCTGATGATCGCTCTTTGATGAGCATCCTTCTTTCTTGGGGAAAAGTGAAAACTGCATTGTAGAGTGGATAGAAGCCCCAGAATACCGCGAAGAAGAATACCATTGCAATCTGCACGAGGAAGTCAAATTATAAATATCATATTAGCCATTGAATTTTCCTATTCTATGTTGATGCGAAATGTGATAGGATCAGATTGTCAATATTAACGTAGCAAAACTTGGAAATGGTTTTACATTAGAAGAGATTGTCATGTTGCTGTAAATACGAGCCTGCTCTGCTGTTATTGGAGCTACCTAGTGTAAATATTGAAACTAGTTTTCTTCCTAACATATAATAGTTCTTACTCTGTCTTCAATGTGGGATGTTGGAGTGTGCCACCATAACAATCCAGCAAGAAATGCTACACTAACAACTTGGAAGATTCTAAGCTTGTTGAAGGTTTCGTATCTTCGTTCCTTCAGCCCCCTTAGTAGCAGCACCTTAAATTGATAGCCCCAACTCGTGCACCAGTGCTCTGACTTCACACCGTTTCCTGCATGAGTAGAGCACGATAGAACTGGAATCAGTCACTAATTCGAGGTAGAGAACAATTTGATAGTCAATTAAAACAATCCCTTTCTTCACAGTTAATTGAAAACTTACTTGTTGAAACATCCTTTGCGTAACTGTAGTTATTGGTATCTGAACTGCATAGCTCAGTTTTCAGCCTTGTAGAAATGTTCTTGTCATAAGCAGAGATGAGAGCTTCTCTTACAGATTTCTTCTCCTGTTCACTACTGTCACCTTGCTCAATTGCATGCTTGGAATCAGGTCCAATTCCTGAAATTTCGAAGATCCTTTTTAAAGAGATGTTTGACACCATAATCCATATACATGATTTTTAAATGTCTCAATGTTTGCACATCTTTTGCCCCTCTATCTACAGTAATTGGTCAAAAAGGAAAATTAAAGAATTTAGATTGAGATTTACTGATTAAATAGTAGGACAACTTATGAGTGGATTCTCTTTTTTACTCTACTTACTTAAAGGTATTGAATAATTACCATTGCTTATCATCAAGCTTAGTGACTCATCTTACTTTAGCAAAACCAATAATGAAAACTATGGACCTCTAAAGTAAGTTGATTTGCTAGGAATGATATTTATATTAGAGTGTTTGAATTACCATTGGCAAGATCAAGCAAGAGATCAGCAGGATTGATAGTAATTGATGTGGAAAAACCAACAGAGGAGAAGTACTCGAGGGCGGTTGATGCAGGACCATAGTAGATAGGGCAGCCTTCAGAAAGCAAGACCACCTTATCAAACATATGGTAGAGCCTGCTGGATGGTTGGTGGATTGTAGTGATCACAGTTCTGCCACCGTCAGCTAGGCGCTTAATAGTAGTTAGAATCCTCAGAGCTGTAGTAGAATCCAAACCAGAAGTAGGCTCATCTAGCAGTAGTAAACTCGGGTTAATGAGCATTTCTTGACCAATACTGACCCTCTTTTTCTCCCCACCTGATATCCCTCTAAATAATGGTCCTCCTATCATGCTGTTTCGACACTTGTTTAACCCGAGCTCTGCTATAACATGCTCCACATGCCTTTCTTTTTCCTCCCTGCTTAGGCTTTGGGGAAGCCTTAACAGAGCTGTGAAGAGGAGAGTTTCTGTTACAGTTAGATGAGGATATAGGACATCATCCTGTGCCACGAATCCAGTACGGCGTTTGATAGCTCCTGAGAATGGCTGGCTGTTGTATGTAATTTTCCCTGATAGCTTACCCGATAGGCGGCCTCCTAAAGCCGTTAGGAGGGTAGTTTTTCCACTACCTGATGGACCTAACATTGCTAGCATCTCCCCTGGGCACACAATACCTGTCACTCCATTTAGTATAGTCTTTTCTTTTGTGCTTGATGGTCCTCCACAACACATTCCTTTTGTTTCTTGCTTAATCTTGTAAACAACTTCTTCAAACTGCATAACATATTAATCAAGATATCAACATATTGATAAAGAAACAAATTGAGTACTATTATGCATGTAACTAACAAGTCTAGAGAGAAATTAAGTTAGAAAAGAGACCTTCAAAGTTATGGGAAACAAGGCCCTTTGTATAAAGGACTCTGAGTTCTTCATCTCTGGCTTCGACGAATTAGGTGGAGGTGCCATCAATTCTGTGCCAAAGTTTTCTGGTTTTGGTGCTACACAATGAAGAGGCATTGGTGTTTTGTTTTAGCAGTGTGTTTTACTGATGAATACTGAATATGAAGAGAAGTTAAAGAGTTGCTTTTAACTTGAGTTTTCTCAAGAGAAGTGAACAACCATATAAATATATAAACTGAGAAAGACACAGAAGAAAAAAGACCAGTATCTATTGTGTGTGTTAAAGTCTCCATGATGTAGGTCTATCTCTCCCTTTATTTTTTCCTTTGTGGTTCCCACCCTTTTTCTCTTAAAGTAATGTAACACTTTCACTTAATCAAATTATTTAAACCATTCTTTCATTTTGATCCTCTCTTCTCTCTTTTTCAGAACGGGCAATATTTGGCTTTAGATTACTAATTTTATACGTCTCAGACGTGTTACCAAAAAAAACATTTTTTTCTAAGATGTGGCCTTTGTCTATGCCACACTAGTAGATCTATTTAGAAAATAGCCAAATTAAGGGTACTTCATAGATCATCCAACATTAAGAAGTGGGTAATGAGAAACATGCCACTGAACAGATCATTTTTTCACTTGCCTTGCAACTCTGTTTGAAAAGAATCTTAGATTTAGACATTTAATTATCTTTGAAATGATTTTTTTTAAAGCAAGTTGCAATAAAAGAAAATGAAAGTCTAATGTGGCAATACCCTATGAATTATGGATTTTGTAGGCTAATTTTGTCGGATTTGTGCTCCCCCCCCCGCCTTTTTTTGCTTTCTCCTTTTTTGTTATTTAAGCATAGTCATGTACGGATGATTTATACACACTGATATTATAATGATTTTCACCATTCAATAGAAAACAGGAATTAGATAGGATACTAGGCGGTAAATAGTTCATAGCTAACATATTTTTTTGATAATTCATCGTCAAATCGGATTAGCGATAGTTTTTTAGTGTTTGTTATATTTTAGCTTGCTTGGACGATCATAGGTGAGGTGTCTTATGAACGGTCACGTATAATTATTTGATAATGTAAAAAATATATTACATTAACAGATTAACAGCGTATAGAAGTAGAACTCTTGTCCTATTCATTTGAATTCCTTTAACTTAGAATTTTCTTTTTATGTACTTCTTTATAAAACTGATAGTGCTTCCCACCTTTAATTCAATAAAGCTCTATTATTTTTGGACTTTTTTTAAAGTTTTCTGCAAATGGGTTCTTACATTATCTGCATGTCAACTCTTGTGCATGCTGCACCTTTTTTTTTCTTGGCTTTTAATAACTATACTATATATTTGTTTTTCTATCTTATGCACTGCTTTCTTTTTCTCTTTATGTCATGCGTCTTAACCACCAAGGATTATAATGGGACGGATACAGTCTCTTTATTCTTAATCAGTAATCTTAATCTTAATCAGTGATCTTAGGTTCGAGTTTGTGGTCAATGAAATGGTTGAGAATCCTGACGTCTCAGGTTCAAAATTTAGTGGAGACAAAAAAACATTTCTTCCTATCTGATCTTGCCTCGATGGATAGAGTTACGTGATACCAGTTGTTGGTGGGAGGTGACAGGTATTCCGTGGAGTTAGTTGGGATGCGCAAAATTTGGTCTGGACACCACGGTCATCAAAAAAATAAGATATGCCTTACACAACACTAATTCAAATTTGTCGGGTCTATTAAGTGGGAAACCAAAAATGTTACGCGTCTTAGGTTCTATTGTTTGGAAACAACCTTTCTACCTACACGCCTACATGAGATAGTGATAGAATCTGCGTATACTAAGTTTGATTAATACTCAATGACATTTGATTAGTGATTTGGTGCTCTTCAAGTGATGGAATATACAACGTAAGGTCACAGATTAGTAAGAAAAGCAAAAAGATGCCAACTTTACTGTTTTCATATGTTCAAAAAATTCTCACAAAATAATTAAAAGAAAACCAATTTCTTTTTCTATAATAAAAGAAAAAGAAAACCTTATTTGGTGATTTTGTCAGTGGGGATTGATGCAAAGCTGCATTTGCAGGAAATATTCCGAAAATATATAGAGTAACATGACTAAGCTGGGAGTTGAGTCAGTTGAGTGGTGCCCTATTTATGTACACCGCCGTACATTATTATATGTGATGAACATAATATAAATTTAGAGCGCGGGGATCTTAATAGTTCAGTTGGTTGACTACTGGAACTTTCATTTTGTTACTATGAGTTCAGTTCCCCTCCTCCATTTTCCCTTCCCTTACCCCGATGTAATAAACTTCTTTTTTGAAGTTTCAATTGATTGACTATTTAAACTTTCATTTTGTTGGTGTGGGTTCAGTTCCCCATCTCCATTTTCCCTTTCCCTACACCGATGTAATAAACTTCTTTTTTCGAGCAACAACTAAATTCAAACTCTTTTTTTCCGACCTATTTGACTCTTTAGTCATAGTTATGTAGGTGATATTATGAGATCAAGTTGCAACAATAGCTGAATATGCAACAACAATCCAAGGTCGCATATCCAGACGCGAACTAAGCTCCCACTCACGACCCATGTAACAGGCTATGGCAAGTAAGGAGTATAAAACAATTAGTTCATTAGGATCACTGTTTAATTTATCTCTTGCTGGAAACCTATTTTCTACCTCTATAAGATAGAGATAAAATCTGCGTAAACATCTGATATCAACCTCTCTAAACTCTACTAGTAAAATTACACCGAGTATTTGAACTACTAGTAACATGCACACATTTTTCAACTTTTCCATTATTTAAACTATTTCCTCCTTAAATTTCTGTTTGCTGCATTTATTTAGTTAAAATAAACATATAATTTATATCATCATAGCTAGCATTGTTGATCTAGATATTATTCTATTTCTTCTTCTGTAGATGTTAACATGTGTAGATCAAGCCTACAGTAATTTGAAATTTTATGCTTTATTTCTTAAGATAAATTTGGAAAATTGAGAGAATCCCTAATCCAAAATTGTGGTGCATTTGTCACTTTCCAGTTAAAAAAATCATAGGATATACATACCACTCGTGGCGAGCATTTATGCTTATCTCCAGTAAGCAGTATAATACAATTTCACTATTTTAGTAACAGGAAAATAAAGTGGAAAAGGATCAATTCTGATACTCACTCGATTTGATATGCATGTCTGGTATAGTTTGATTCGACACGAAATTAAAAGAAAAAAAAATAAAGATTTAAAAATGTGGTCTTTAATATTTCATAATGTTTAATTTGTGTAACTATAAAGATTTGAGTACTACATCTTACTAGTTAAATAGAGTTATCTTCACGGAGCCTTAACAATCCCGATGGTAATGTTTAAATGGAAGGACCTTGTTATGGAGATAGGTTTTTGTAAAATTAAACTTCTAAAATTTGTGGGTTAAATCTGTCGTGATATTTATTTGGTTATAAAAACTTTTTATTAAAAGTAAAATGAGAAGGTAGGGGTGTGCAAAAACCGATTTAACCAATAAATCGAATCGAAAAAAACACTATTGGTTTATTGATATTGGGTTATTGGGCTAACGGTTTTTAAATGGTTTTGCAAATTTTTTTATTGGATTATTGGTTCGGTTTCCGATTTTATTGATTTTTGTTAATGGTTAAACCGATAACCCAATAAGACTATACTAAATTTACTAGTCTTATTGTTATTGGTTAAACGATTGTTACTTTCACACTTTTTCCTTTGAATGTGTAGTGTCTAAACTTGCAAGAAAAATGTGTAGTGTCTAAACTTACAAGAAAAATGATTGTTACTTTTATGATTATTACTTCCATGCCAAATACTGGAAAAATCATATGATTTATATGAAAATTTTCTTATCGTGTATATAATATATATATGAGTATTTTCTTATTGGTTAAACCGAAAACCGAACCATTAAGTACCATAAATCGATAAGAAATACGTTATTGGTTTGGTTATCGGTTTGATGTATTTACAAATCGAAAACCGATAACCGAACCAATAACACATAAAACCGAACCGAACCGATCGATGCGCACCCCCATGAGAAGGTATTGAAAAATTATAAAAAATAAATAAAGTATTTGACCAAATTTAATTTACTATAACTGCTCTGGACTCACTCAGTTTGTCGATTTTCTTTAATTGATTTTTACACTATTTTTATTAGCATAACTTGTTCATTTATAAACACAACTCATTTTGATCAATCCGAATTTAGCTTAACCTTACACTAAACTAAGACTTTTATTAATGTAACAAGAGATTAATAAGGACACAGTCTCAAACAAAATGGAACATAATGAGTGTATATAAGTTGCAAATTGGTAACCACATATTAAGCAAATAAAAAGTGAAAATCAATGGTTTCTTTTTCCTAGTAAAGCCATTTGATTCTTATATTCCCTTTGATAGAAAATTGAACTATAATTTTCAATATTCGTATCAAGCAAATCCAATATATCACCATATTCTATAATTAGGTCGTTGATTTCTGTAATATTCATTAAATAATTTCATGATAAACTAAAGTTGATTAGGTTATTAATTTCTTGATTCTCTCATGATAATGAATTCCACCTTTTTCGATTAATAATGACAATTGTTAAATAATAGAGAACGTCAACTTGAAGACCAATATGATTCAACTTTTGAATAACTTAGGTACAAATATCTGGAAAAAAGATTTTTATTGTCGGTGTATATAAATTAAATACAAAATTAAACATGACATTGTTCCTGGTAATTTTACCACCTTTAACCAAATTATAATTTGTATCCATTTATAAAAGGGAAAAGTAGCAGTATTAACTTATGTTTTTGGAAAATATAGTGAGATTATTTAGTAGTTTTTTTTTTCTTTCAAAATGTAGCTGTATTTTCCTTTCAAAACGTAGCGAAATAAAGTGAATTTGTGCGAATACAAAATTTAATCCTAATTGAAAATGTGGATATACATTATCTGATTGTGTGTGTGATCGATCAATTGTATATACATGTACATGTTTTCAAAGCACAAACTGAATGTGTGTGTGGACACTTATATATGTTTACAAAGCAGAAGTTAGATGTATACGAGTGATCAACTGAAAATTTTAAATACAAGTATATGTATAAGTATTATATGCTATAATTTGTGATTATTTAAAATTAGCACTATTAAAGTAATAAGAAAGTAAATACGCTAAGTCAGATCATTTTTCCCTTAAATAAAAAATAAGACTGTATAGTTGATGGTCTTTTTCGAAGTGTTAGTGCACTATTCTTGCTGTTCAATTTATTTACACAATTTTCATTTATGAGGTTAATTAGATAAATAATTATATGTTTTAGTCTATATAATATAATAAAATCAGAGTATCTACATAGCGAGCTGATATGACACGAAGATTTAAAAATTAATATGAATATCGAGAATGAATGATTGATCGCGGTCACCTTCTTTTGGAGAAAGGAGTTTGGTATTGTAACTCTTTCTCCGGTCAATAATAAAAAAGTCACTTTACTTTGTCTAATTAAGTATCATGAAACTGGTTAAACTAATTAATTTACTACGAATAATAGAAACTCACAAAACAAAAAAAAGAAGGAGACGTGATCTATGATACTAAGATAAAGTTGAATATGCATTTCTATTCTAATTTTTTAAAAAAGTATAATTTAGTAACTTTTTGTGATACTAATTTAATTAGGTGAGCACCCATGATATTACCTCCTTTTTTCTTCTTTTTTATTAATCCTTACCATTTCAATTTGTTTAGTATTTTTTTTTACAAATGAAAGAGATTTTCTTCCACTAGCTAGCTCATTGCTTTTTTGACATATATATATATTTTTTGAAATATTCTTTCTTGCTTTCACACCTTTTATAATTTATCTTGAGCCCCATGTTGCATGGGAGAGAATATTCTTCCTAATATAGCATCCATACTTAAATCATCTTTGACCAATTGTAACCCTTCAAATTCACATTTTCTATACGTCTTGTTATGTCATTCATGTCGATCGAACATTTCATTTTTACTAACATTATACTTTTGTATACTCACGTTTGAATATTTTTTTAAGTCTTCCTTCGATTTTAATCAGAACTCTTAGATTTGAGTTCTAACCATGAAAATATAATATACCGTCCGATTGAACGATGGAATTAACTCGTATTTTTGGGAGTAGTTGTTTTCTTTGTAGAGCTGTTGACAGGGGCTTTGCTGGTCGAAGTCTTATTTTTAAGCCGAGATATAATTTTTATTTTCTTAATTGTGTGCGCTATTAGCAAATAGTTCAGCAAGGTAAGCTTAGACCTAAATTTTGGCATTAAGTATCAGTTGCGCTGCTTGAATTTGAGGCGTGACATAAAAGAAAATCCAGATAGGAAGAACTTCCCCTTAATTAAATGATCCTTACACTACGTGAATTCGAATTGATCAAGACATCAATACAAATATCAAACATCGGATGAAAAGAAAAAAAGAAAAAAGAAAAATGTTCTTCTTGTCCAACATTTCATGTTCATTAACATTAAACTTTTGTATAGTGATCACGTTTGGATGTTTTTTTTATAGACTAGCTATAGGTCTCTAGTTCATTTGAGAGCATCTAAGATTTGTTAGGCCTTCTTTAATTCTTTTGATTAATTAGTACAAATATAAAACAATTTATGGTCTTATCGATCTCTTTTTTTAAAAGTAAAGTCTATATACTGATTATCTGAATTATTCTTCCCATTTTGTTATAGTCTATTTTGTCTCATGCAAAGTAGTTTCCTTCTACCGTCTGATTTTTCTTATTAAACTTTTAGAATTGTCCTTGTCTTGTTTACTGATTCATATATAGAAAAAGCATTTGTTGGATAGACCTTGATTCAAAAATTTGGACCACCCCTCTTGTAATAAGGCTATAAAGAGCTAGGGAATATATGAAATAAAGAATAAAATTCACCTCTGAATAGTGCATTATACTGAATGTGCGAATAAAGTCCAATATTGTAAGTTGGCCAGGTGAGGAAAAATATTTGATCATTTGAGAAAAATCATACAAGTTTGATTTGAAATGATTAATATAATACCATGTTAGGAGTATAATTTAGTTATTTTACTCCAATAATTAGTATTGAAATCAATGGATCAATGACAAGAGTATGAAAATGCCAGAGTGATGACATCATGGGTCTGTCTTACTACCTTTGCAACTTGCACCCTGGTTTTACTACCTTTACCTATAGCTTGGAGATTCGTACACATAAAATACGTCTCTAGATTTTGATGGCCGTAAATACTTTATTGACGTAGCCCGTGTAGGTGATAGACGATTAATCTCTAAATGAATCCATAAAAACTTAATGATGGGCCATATGGATGGGTCACGTCCCAACCGTGGGTGAGACAGACAAGTACCATATGAATGCATATGATACAACTCTACACATGAATGATGACACGTGTCACACTTTTATAAACAAATAATTTTTTTTTATAATTTTTTCATATTACCTTAACGAATTTTTTGACATCTTCAATCAAATCTTCAATACCTTAATTAATAGCATCCCTTTGTCCCCTCATCTAAATTGCCCTTGAATTTCCTCCACTAAAACATTTTCTCTCTCACACAAACATACATTTTGGACCATTGATGTGTAAAGTTCATTATATGCTAACACTCTAATGTACAAACACAAGGAACCAACACTCACATAATAGGAAGTTCTTATCATTCATAGATTGTAAACATAAAACAGCCTATCAAATTGTACCAACAGAGATTCTGAG